CGAAAGCTACTCAAATTTGACTTGCTCAATAGTTTGAGTTTGATTCGATAGTGATTAAACTGAATTCAAACTTTTTGCAGCTGAACACAAATAGCTTGTGAACACAATGTATTGTTTACACCATTAGTTGTAATCTTTCTCTTTAAACGAAAAATGTCATGTTTTCTCAGATTATTTGCAGAGATTAGTATAATTCTTGCAGGTCAGGCATTTATGTAATTTGACAAATTGTTTGAAATATTTGTTTTCCAGGAGGTGTTGTCATGTTTACTAGATCACTGGCTGGTTATAAACGTCAAGGAATACGTGCCAATGTTCTTTGCCCTGATGTAAATGTCTAGTTAATTTGAAGAATTTTGGATGTTCTTAATTAGCATATGTTTCTCTTATATAATTTGCCTTTGAACATGGATGTAGGTTGTTCTAACCGAGATGGGAGAAAATTGGACCCCAAATTTGTTTCTCTAATGGGAGGCTTTGTGCCAATGGAAATGGTGGTGAAAGGTATATACGCTTCGAATTTTGCTAACTATTATCTCAAAATAAATATGTTTAAGAGCCAAACTTTAGACAAAAGTAATCTGTAAATTTGATCTATTTGATTTTTGTCTTACTCGGTTCGATCCTTGAAAACCTCTTCTTCAGAGGATATCTTTAATTTGTGAAATATAATATATTTATATAGAATTTCAGATTATATAGATTTCAATACAATCCTAAATAAAACAGAGATTTTGCACGCCAAATCACTTCTGGTAACTTCCTATCCACTTCCTCATATTTCTAGGTGCTTTTGAGCTTATCGCTGATGAGAGCAAAGCTGGTGCTTGCCTATGGGTTTCAAACCACAAAGGCTTGGAGTATTGGCCCAATCCAACTGAAGAAGCAAAATACACTGTGCGTTACTCCTCAAGTTCCAGGAGCAACAAAATCTCGTTCCAAGCTCCTTTAAGTTCCAAGCTTCCTCAGAATTTCAAGAAACTGTAAGTAAAATGTCATAATTGTTTTATCTTTTAGTATTTTAAGTACAATTATTTGAGTTTTGGTGGATTAAAAGTATACAGTTCACCATCAAAAACATAGCTTGAGTTCTTGTACGGTTGCAGAAAGCTACAATATATATTTTTTACTTTGTTTAGCAGCCATATTTCACATCTCGATTAGTTTTATGTATCCATGACCTTAATAAGATACTCCAAATATTATTTTTTAAAAAATATCAAGTATACTCATGCCGGACAAATACCCCAATCAATACTCACCCTGAATCTGAATAATGAAGCTGATTGGTTTAATAAAGATACTGACCAGTGCCTTTTTGCTCTTGCTCAGTGTTGTGCATAGCTTTAGTCACCATTTTCGTGATGCAACCCATGTAATTAGTGTACCATTGCGACTACCTCTTGAATCAGACCAAGTTGTTCTGAAAGTCATTTATGCTGGTGTAAACGCTGGTGATGTAAGTTTATTTTATTTACTTTTCATTTATGATTCATTCGATTTTCCATTTTCTTTTAATTAAATTCTTCTGTACTCAACTTTTGACATATTCTATTCCGACCATAAGAATCTTTGTATAATTATAGAAAATTTATGTTCTTTGATATAAAATTATATACCATGTACTTATGTGTGTATTCTTGAATAACATGTTACAAATAGGTGAACTATAGCGCGGGTCGATATTTTCAAGGAAACAAGAAAGACATCAGCTCCCTTCTTCCAGCCGATGCCGGATTTGAGGTGCAGAAATAAAATATTATAACTAAATAACATCAGGGATGACATCAATTCGGATATTTGCTTGGATATCTGCATCCATTTCAAATTCACTACGAACTATAATTATAATATTTGAATTCGGAGAAAATGGATTTGTATCAGCAATTACCGAAATCACATTATATTGTCATCCCAAGTGTAAATGTGTTAATATAATATAGTTCAGTTAAGTTGATATCTTCTGGCTATGGTTAAATTTTTCTGTTACAGGCAGTGGGAATAATTGCTGCCGTCGGAGATTCTGTAAGAAATTTGAAAGTTGGAACTCCTGCTGCAATCATGGGTTTTGGATGTTATGCTGAATTCATGAAGGTATAAAATCAAGTTTATTTATTACGTTTGTAAAGTTCTTGTTTCTTAATCTATTTCAATCTTTGTTCCTATTATTTATATTGTTAACTAATTATTGGATATTGAAACTAAACATAGGTCTCTTCAAAGCACATACTTCCCATTCCAAGGCCTGATCCAGAAGTTATTGCTTTGCTTACTTCAGGATTAACAGCATCAATCGCTTTGGAAAAGGTACATTTTTATTGTAATTTTTTCTTGTTTAGAGAAGTAAACTTTTGCATTCTCAACTCTTTTACACTAACCAACTCTTTTGTGGCCATATTCTCCATTGTTTTTTTAGCTATCCATTCAGTCTTTCTTGTGTATGCATGTCTGAATAATTTTCGATCTCTATTTTTCATCTTATAGGTTGGACAGATGAAATCTGGACAAGTTGTCCTTGTAACTGCTGCTGCTGGAGGGACTGGGCAATTTGCAGTCCAGGTTTGTGTTAAACTGAGTTGATAACTTGTAATAAGAATATTACATGAAAAAAATTTACAATAAACAATATGAGAATAATAAGATAACAAAAATGTGATATTAATACACATATGTGTCAAATTTTACACAATCATAAACTATTAAAACACAGTATCTTTAAAAAATTTGAGCATGCTCGTTATAAATAAATCTTACTAAGATTCAGTTCCCATCCCCAGTTCGAGTAACACATACCTCTATTGCATGTTTATCTTAATTTTATACTTATTGAAATATATGGTATTTCATTTATTTAACAAAACATCTTCAAATATACAGTAATTTATGGCTATCATGTTTGCATCTTCAAAGATATATTTAATGCTAATTAATAACTGTATGTATTTGTTTCATGGCTTCAACAAGATTTTGCTCCTTGAATGTCTTTTTTGTATACTTTTATGTCCTTTTAATCAGAACGACATTTGCAGCTTGCAAAAATAGCAGGAAATAAAGTTGTTGCGACTTGTGGAGGAAAAGAAAAGGCAACGCTTTTGAAAGAATTGGGGGTTGATCGAGTCATAGACTATAAAACTGAAGACGTCAAAGCTGTATGTATCTGAAATTCTTATTTTCAATTGTTCTGTCTTTTATCGCACCTCTATCGGACATACTCTCATATCCGACACTCACAACCGAGTTTTAGTAACATAAATAAACTTAGAGGAATTGTAGTCAACTAACTCTACTGTGATTAACCTCAACACCTTCTATGACTAAAGATCTCAGTTGCCATCATTTTTTATCGTCATACATGCCATGCCCCATCTTCTGAGATTGATCTCACCACAGTTAGAACAACTAAGACCTTGAATGCCATCGGGTTAAAAGGCTTTGTAAAGCCACCATATGACAATTTATGCATTTGGTTGGTTTTATTTCATGGAAGGAACGTCTGACTTTGTAATCTTTCAGGCTCTCAAGGAGTTTCCTAAAGGGGTCGACATTGTGTACGAATGTGTTGGAGGGAACATGTTTGATTTGTGCCTTAATGCTTTGGCAATCCGAGGACGACTCATTGTGATAGGAATGATCTCTCAGGTTGGTTGGTTTATATATATATATATATATATATGATTCCGCACGATACGAATATAGTTGTAATGTTGGTCTAACTCGTCATTCTTTTTGAAATCCACCTGTGTCTAAACATAAGGACAAGGATACCAGTCATTCTTCATATTCACAACTTTTATAGCTTCTGATGTTGTACTTCTTATTTACAGTATCAAGGGAAGCATGGATGGATGCCATTAAATTATCCTGGACTTGTTGAGAAGCTTTTGGCCAAAAGCCAAACTGTGGTAAGTAATCAGTAAAAGTGTTGTCGTGATTCTTCATTTTTCTTCCGGTATCCATATCCGACACTCATATTTAACACGTTTCCAGAAACTTGTGATCACAAGTTCTATGGTTTCTATTCTACCATATAATTTTATATCCTCTTCTTTGCACTTGGCATTGGAAATCTTGTGGCTTGTATTGAAAATGCTTTTGTTTGCAGGCCGGCTTTGTCATGACACACTATAGCTATTTATGCAAAGAGCACCTAGTGAGACTCTCTCAACTTTACTCTTCAGGAAAGCTTAAGGTAACACATATGACATATCTCCACATTCTATGTTTGACATACATCTACAAACGAATCTAGTTTTTTCGCATCGTGTTCGATTTAGAATAACGCTAAACCAAAGCCTTAGTTTCTTCTCACTTTCTTAACATGCTGTTATACAATATTGTAACAGGTAGTATTAGACCCGAAAAGATTTTCGGGTTTAGATTCCGTTGCAGATGCTGTTCAGTATTTGCATTCGGGTAAAAGTACCGGCAAGGTGAGCACAAATTCTCGATAAAGAGAGCATCCAAGAAAACTGAATTGGGCCTCTAATGTGTTTTACATTACTCTCAATTTCTCCAGGTTGTCGTCTGCATCGATCCAAGCTTTGAACATCAAATGGCTAAGTTATAATTCGAAGCCGACAAAGTCATTGTTCATCTCTCCCGGGTAAAGTTTTAAACTATTTGCTACTCGTATAGGAAATATACTCTAATAGCAGAATTATGTTCGAGTAGAGTGGTTACTTGGTTTGAATAAAGAGCCATAAGATAAATTCAGAGAATAATTGTACTGATGTATGTTACTCAGAACCGAAAGTTGTATCGATAGAAAAACAAAACAATGAATCGGAACCGAACACGATACGAGTGTTCTTTAGTTACAAGTATGTTTCTAAAGCATACAACAGAATTGAATTGCTTGATATGATTTCCTTTCTCAATGGCAATTCAAAAGCCTAAACGACATGGGCATTCATGAGAATATACACTCACCTTCTTCACAAAATCTCTTCCAAAAGTTTCTGCTTGTTCCATCACAAAAGCTTTTTGAGTGGCCACTATCATCACCAAGGTGCATTAGCCACTTCTTGAAACAAAGCCTCGAGCTCATCGGATTTCTCTTGCTCGAATCCTATCTCTCTGTCAAGTCTACTCAGCGTCTCGGTTACTTCCGCAAGCTTTGCTTCCAGTTTATGCTTCTCCTCGTTTGCATTAGCTTGTTCGAGTTTAGCTTCTTTGTACCTCCTTGACTTCATCAAGAGGAACATCAATTGGTCCAACCGAGCACATAGAAATCCAACTTTCATACCTAGCCCCTCGAACGATTTCAACGTTTTGTCCCAAGTGAGAAAACTGTCGTGGGAAATTGTAATCTTGGCAGCTCTAATGGCATCGGCGATATTTATCGTCTCAGCAATGACTCCGGCAACCAGTTTACAGTTAAGTCCCTCGAGGAGATTTTCGTGAAGGAATAACTTTTGATTACAACAAAGCTGATAGTACTCATTTGCAGGTGCTTGGAAAGCTCAGAATCTATGATTAAACCATTAACAACAATGATAAAATCCTCGAAACTCTTCACTTCTTTAAAATTAACAACGGATTCTGAGAGCCTGACTCCATCCGAAACTTCAGAACGAGATCCACCCTTTCATTTTCAGATTGATCCACTGTCGGTTCAAGGTTAGAACTGTTGTGGAGTATGGGGTCATTTCTATCTTCTGTATTTCCTACAGATAACCTTTTCGCACATTGTGTTCTTTCCCTGCAATCATCAAAAGAATACCTTAAGATTATAAATTCGCAATCGATAATAACCTTAAAATCCATGTTTTCGTAACATGGTCGTGCATTAACGAAGATAAAAACGACTCGCCCAGGTCAACTTGTTGAGTGGAAGATTCTAACTTTAGAAGGCCAAGAGCAACATCCACTTCATCTGAACCTTTTTTCTCACAATATAAACCTAAAAAATGCAGAGAAAGCTTCATCAAGCACCCTTAAGTTCATCCAAACATATGAAATTACAGAAAAAGCAAACAATTACCTTAAATTTGAAGGGTTTCACTAAATGAAAAATACAGATATCTCCTTCCAATAATTTATGAGCAATTGAGAACCCTCTCCATCCACCACTAAGTCCAACCTTTTCCGCTAAATATTTAGCTTCAAACTCTTCTCCTTCTTCATCCAATACCATGATTCGCTTCCTTCGTCAAATGATTGAGCAGAACTGTTTCGGAAGACCCTATCATTGGCAAAGATAAACATCTTCCGCTAGGAAACACCGACGCAGCAGTAAGTCTAATTATAAAAAGAATGCAAAGACGAAAAACAAATTATACCAGCCAAAACCCTCCAGTAACGTGAGATGGAAGCATGTATTTGATCAAGCTAGGGAACTCAAATGATAGATTAGCTTTAATTTGCAATGCTCGTCCCATAACGGCGGATTTGAGCTCGGAATTCTCATACAATCCATCATATGTAGCTCTCTTTCGTTATTACTAAAAGGGAAACAATAACATCATAAACAAGGCAGCAATGTGTAATTGTTCCCAAGGCATAAAAGAAAGAAAATTTTGAGCTACATTACTCACCATTGAGCCTTTCCTTTTCAGCAGAGACTACCTACCAAAAGATTCATTAAATTTCCCATTAGTATGTTCTTGGACGGCACCTATTTCGATTCAAATTACTAAAGGAGCGTGGGGATTATGACCTTCTATGTATCCACATACTATTTTACATATCGGTTAGAATTTGTTTGCAGAAAAATAATCAAAGCGATATCAACATAAATAATGCATGCACAATAGACATATTTAAAGTTGTTCGACCTTGCAACGTATAATGTATCCCACAATTGACCATAGATACTCATAGTCATTGCTGACGGCCTTAAGCCTATACTTGTTTTCATATTCTCTGTTTTTAAAACCTTTTCTTTCAAAACAAACACTGAGATTAACTTACAACTTCATAGTTAACAAACTTAGAGTAAACCCCAAGGGAAAATGTGGGGATATGGAGCTCACTTGATTACAACTCGCCTGGAACCTTTCTCCTAAACAATTTGCTCTTGGATGGTCCCCTCTCCCTCGATAAACCTGAAAATATATGTATGTATATCTGTTTGGGTACTTGTAAAAGTATATATCTGTTTGATTATACATACATAAATCATGTACGAGATGATGCTTATGTATGTAAGTGTGTGTATATGTATGACGTATGTATATAAAAATATATATACACAGAACAGAGCACGTGGATGTCGATGCTTGTAAGAGGAAGAGACCTTGAGAGGGTTCATCTTCTGTTCTGGGGAGATAGCCATGGCGATCAATTTGAAACAGCTTGTAGTATTTGAGTACTGAACTCACTGCCACTTTGAATCTTCGGCGGTAGGATTTGAAATTTTGAAATCAAGAGAGTTTTATTTGTAAACTTTACAAATTTCGGTACAAAGAAATGAGAGAAATGGAGTATTATTGGAAAGAAATGACGAGTCTTTCTTTTGATTTGATGTTTGTAATTATTCAACTGTCAAGCAGTAACATCTTGAACATTTTCTAGTAATTACACAAATCAATTTACTTAAAAGAATAATTATTATATTTAAAGATCACCGATTTAAACATCAACTATTATAAGAAGCATTGAACATTTATTGTTAAATAGTTAAAAATACTTAAAACATATATTAATTTATAATTATTTTTAATTTAATAAAAAATTATTAATTTAATTATAAAAATATTATTATGCAAACTCCGAAAGATTAGAAGATATAATAAAAAAACAAGATAGCATGTTTGTACATATCTTACTACTCAACTATTCACATCTTAGAATCCCCAAACTCGAGCACAGTTGATGACCCTTTTTTTTATATACATACATACATACATACATACATACATACATATATACATATATACAGTCCTATACATACATTCTCATATACAATAAAATAAATATGGTTCATACACTGATTGCCACACGATTATATCACAGGCAGCAGAACCGGTAACCAACACAGTTTTCTGCAAAAAAAACGTCCACGGACCTTGTTTGCCGTGCTCGAGCAGAGAAACTACGACTCGTTCATCATAAGTAATGGATTTATTTTGCTTGTAATATGTCTTGACGGCATTACCGAATGAACACCCCATGGTAATGATTCATCAGAAACATTATAATCTCGAACGACGACTGCATTTTATACCAAGGAAAGGTGAATGTCTCCGAACAGATGAAAATGGCTGTCCCTTGCCAGAACCCGAAAATCTAACGTCCCAACCTTCGATATTCTTACGAACACAAGCCTCAAAGAGAATTTGGCCAAGTACGCTATGAGCATTGATGCTTGGCTGTACAGGTAGAGAGAGCGGTCCGTCACTTGGTTCATCTTCTAAAGACCCAGACTCTTTACTATTCTGATATTTGGCTGAACTTGGCAAGAAAAAGTGGTCACTAGGTCCAAGGGCAACTCTCCTAAAACTTTGGTTCGAGTTAACTGCTGCTTTCTGCAGGTCATAGACTAACTCGGATATCGTCAAGCATCCATTCATTTCTCCAAGTTTACGGATCCTATGGGAATAGACCAAAGTCGCTTTCTCAAGGAAACCAGCCACGGCAGCCCTGTATTGAATAGGATAATGCTTGTAGTGCTCTGAAATATAGCAAAGAATGACATTAGCTCAGTCGTGAAACAAACACATTAGTAACTTAACATTTTAAAAGTACAAAACACAGTTACTTTCGAGCAAGCACTCGGGCATTTAATAAACATAGAAGATAACATAAAATGAGTCATTTGCATACAAATCAGCTGTTTATGCCTTTACTTATTAATCAAGGATATAAGATTCTCAATGCCCTTAATATGGGTTCATATGAGTAGACATCGTGTTTACTATCTGACCATCAGCTTAATCGACTAGATAAATAACAAACCCCCTAAATGGTAGCACTGACAGTTAAAAACATAATAAGTTTGTGCAAATAATCGTAATATTTATACATGGTAAATTGACGAACTTAACAGAAGTTAAAATGCTTTGTAGTAATAACAAAGCAGAGAAGGTTAGGGACCGACCTAGATGAGGAGAGCCATTCCACTTCACAATATCAATATCTGCCCCAAGATCCTGTAAGCATTGAGCAAAATTGAGTATAACTGGATATGGTGCAAGGTCATCTTTCTCCGAGCATAAAATGAGATATGGAGCATCTAAGCCCTACAAAAGAAGAGTGGGGAAAATTAGCTGATGGAAGCAGACGAAAAACAACTTAACAAGCTAACAGGGATTAATAAGCTTACAACAGAGGAGTAAAGGGTCTGCCAGTATTCGGCACGTTGACTCAAACCCAGTTAGATAAAGACCATCGAGACTAGATGCAATGCCTTTAGCGATCCAAGAAACAGTTTTGATGTTCCGGGTATTTTACGTACGGAGGGATGAAAGCAAATTGGGCATTCAGATTATTTGCAAAATCTACCGGACCAGAATCATAGATTTGTCCACAAACACAATTTCGAATCAACTTCCTTTCCTTTAAAAAATGGACATTAACAAAAAAATTCAGTTAGGTTTATGAATATTAGAGATTTTATTAAAGGGGTTATAAGCAAATCACTACGAGAAACTAATAGAGAAAGAAAGGATACCGGATTAATCCAACCTTCACCTGTTTCTTGAATAATCTACATTAAACATAACAAAGTTATTTCAACTGCAACATGGAAATTAAAGCATAAAATGTTGCTTGACTCGTTTGGGATTGGAATTATATAGAAAGTTTTAATACCTGAAAAACCTTGTACATACAAGCTTTAGGACTTCCTGAGAAAGAGACAAAGACCACTGGACAAGTTCTAATCTTTAGTTCCTGCAAACCAAAAAAAGGTAAGTCTATGTTTTTAGAAAAAAATTAAGACATCATTAAGCGATAATGAACCTTAATGAAACTGACCTCAAGAAGCTCATTTAGAAGAATGCCAAGGACATAGCCTTATCAGGATAATATCTGCACAAAGAACATAACATGAAAAGAAAACAAGGAAAGAATTTTGCTAAATGTGCTGCAAAGGAATGCTACTTGCTAAATCAAAGATCCTAAAATTTGACAAGCAATGACAATGCAAAGCTTTGTTGCTTTGACTTTTCATTTTTGATGAGGCACTCGTGTGTGTTACACTTGTGTCCGACATATAGATACGGGAATATGACCTCCAAAGATTATCCGACAACATGGGAAAATATAGAAATCTAACCATACACATATTGAACATATACCCATATTTGACACTATACTCGAGTCCGAGTAACATGGATCCAAATAACTCAAAAATATACTCCCTGCGAACCCTACAAATAACTTATACAGACCAAAACTACCAGTCCTCGGTCACACAAGCAACATGTTTTGGGTTATCTGTGTAAGTTTAGCAACTCCATCTTCAAACAAAGCAACTTATTGCCGATGTCCTAATTATTTCCACACATTCTATCTTCCCATCCTCATCATTGGCAATCAACTATGATTGCCAAAATTACTATCCTAAAAGAGATCCATTCACTACCCCAATTATTCTGGGTGGAATCGAATATGATATGCGAATGCATCCAGCACAACTATACTATATTATTTTTATTTTTTTCCACATTCGGAAGGTCACACTGCATATTATGTCCTAGTATCTATCGGGCATAAGTATGCTGTACTTCCGAAATTAAGAATCCAGATGACATAGCACCCATCAATCCAATTATCACAATCATTAGCAAGAAAATAATAAAAAGAAGTCTAATTCAAATTTGACCATCAAAATTCAATAGAAGAACAAGCTCATCTTATTCTTATGAGAAGCCTGGACTAAAGAACCACCAGAAGGAACGCTAAAGTTCTTTACCTAAACGACGAAATTTAGACAAGTTAAGTAACTAAATCAGCTTACTCCACTAGAATGTACTTTCAAAGAAACCAAACAATAAATAATACATCCATAAAACAAATTAAACTTACAAGTTGAGAAAATCAGCGGGCAACGAGGGAATTCCAGCCGAGAGACGAATAAAAATCCAGGTAAGTTTTAAGGTGTTTCTCGTGAATCGAAACCCAAGCAAAAATCACAACAATTCCTCTCACTCCTTTATTCTCTGCTGCCTCTTTTCTTCCCCAATACACTTC